ACACCTAAATTAAATAATAACTAATTTATATTTATTATAAATGTAAATTATTTCGTTGAAAAATTTACATTTACAAATAAATGTAAATTTGAAAATTTACATTTACGAATAAATGTAAATGTTGAAAATTTACATTTATTCGTAAATATAAATTATAATAATTTACATTTATTTGTAAATGTAAATTTTGCAACAAAATAATTTACATTTATAATAAATATAAATTTTGAGAAATTTATATTTATTGTAAAGTAAATGATAAATGACACCCCTATTAAAAACATTGATTCAACTACACAACAAATGATCATAAGTGCATAGTAATTGGTTTTTTGTTTCAGCGTTATACAATTATTGAGTATATTATTTCGCGTGGGTGTGGGTTTAGGTATGAATAATCTCTGAGTATTTATCTTCTTTTTACCCACACCCACACCCATACACCCACAACCCACACCCCACACCCACACCCTATTAGGAGGTTTGATTTCTCTTTCTAGTACAATGTTCTTGTGATTGAGTTACAAAGTAACAAAATAACATTCGAAAATATATACAAGTACTTCAGAAAGTATCTGGACACTTAAGGTCCCTTAGACCCTTCCTCAAAACTGATTTTGGTCCAGGCAAATTCAAATCGCATGAAATTTTCCACATATATTGGGATTGTAGTTGAGAGGCTATGGTAAAACTTTCAAATCTATAACATGATGTTTGAGGACACATTCATTAAACGAGGGTCAATAGTTGTTCATTTGGTAATCCAAAAATCTTTGTAAGCCTTCATTCTATGTATTCAATATTTTTGTTCTTTTGGAAGAGCATGTCCGGATGCAAAGCATGCCAGAATTTTTTAAACTTTCATTTTTAAGCGGAGGAAATGGATAACAAGTTCAATAACTAAAAATTTCTGAAAAAGTGGGAACGTTTTGGATTGTTGAACTAATCATCCGTTTTCTCCGGTTAACAAGTGAAAATTTTCAGAAAACAGCTCTGCCATCTCCTGCATTTTGACATGCGCTTCCAAACAAACAAAAAATTAAATATATAGGATGAAGACTCACACTGACTTTTGGGTTATCAAATAAACCATTATTGAGCCTTGTTTCGTGAATCTTCGTTAAATATCAATTAGAGGATAGTCTTGTCATCACTAACTTAACAGTTGAAATATACAGATAGTTATCTAAACGAAAACTTCAGTTTCTTTTGAAACAAGTCAGTCAAATAGTTATTTCAGTTCCATAAAGATCTATTGGTTTTTAACATTTCAATTTGGCAGCCATGGTATTATGTTTTAATGATATCGATGCACTTTGTCATTCGTTATCTATTAATGATCTACTACAACTTCTCAATATAATAAGGAAGACATTAGTGTCTATAGTGATTAGACAACCACGCCAGGTCAATAATGAACAATTTTGTAACACATGAATGGAACGAACGAAATACAGAACTAAAACATTTTTACTATACATGTAATGATTGGAATTTTATCAGATTGTAGCTTTGATACGTCTGTAGCTGGAACATTTCACATATTCATTTTTCTTTTTATTATATCTATGACATTGATTTTGTAATTAAAGACAAATCTTTGAATAAACAGTTTATTGATTCATGCGTGATACTACTATTTGATTTTTCATGAATGTTGTACTCGATTATTTGTGCAACACAAATATTAAAAATGTACAGAAATGATTAGAACTCTAATACAGTTTTCTAGGTTAAAAGAAGTATGCAACTGTTTTTTTTTATTAATAGTCATATTTTTGACCTTATTCAACAATGAATTGAGTTGATGAATATTTTACAATTTATTATCAGATACTCTTCCATAATATTAAGTCCCACTTACTCTGGAAATAGCGCCACTTATAGATAAGATATACGTCTTTTGTTTTTCTTCTTGATAAAAAGAATAGATGTAGTAAAAAAACATTGATGAAAATTTCCCATAGACTTGTAATGTTCGCATGAATATATTGGCAATGTTTGACTTACGATCTTTGCTATTGGAAAAATAATTATATGCAGATGCAATACAGTATTGGGTTCTATGTGTTATGATCAATTAAAACTTAATTGTACTTATTCATCTTGCGTTTTCGCCCCTATAACAACTGCATCAGTGGGAGACTCTTCGATAAAAGCTGATGTTTTGTTCATCGTGGATGTTAGATTAAAGTCAACTATCTTCTAATGGAGTCGAATAAGGTCTGATCTTCACGTTGAAAAGCAATCTTTCATTGGATGTCCTCAGTTAAACTTATTTTTTCATGTTAATAAGCTTTTTCAGCAAGAAAGGATTTTGATATGATGACTTCTTGAGGTATAGATGCGATGTACGTGGTACCGAAGATAAGCTCACACGTTTTCGAGAAAGTCTTTTTGACAACATTATCGTTTTCAGTATTATCTATTTGTTATTTAGCCTATGGTGAAACTGCAAAGTATGAATACTTGAGTTTGATGAGCGCGATAATCGAACAGCATTAAAAACTACGAATGACAATCCTTTGTATGTGTGCGACAACCAAAAAAGATGCATCAGGCTTTGTGCTACTCTAATACCATATTACTTTGATTTGATAATTCAATAAAATAAAGTGTCATAAATTAATAAATTCCAAGTATCTTTCGAACTGCACATGAAACTTTTCCCAAAACGTGCCCCCCCCCCCCCCCCCCGCATGCATGTATAGATGGCGCTAGTTATCGTCATATATGTCTTTTCACAACGGAAGAGAATATAAATAAAGAGATGCCCAATAAAAAGTTTTTATTGGTTCAAACTAGTTATTATTGCGTCCTGGTCGCCACCCATCAACGATGATCTCAGAAATGCTAGTTGGGCCCTAAAAAACTAATTATACTAAAATGTCAATCTCTCTTTATTACTTCGAATGACAACACTACGAATCTTCAAAAAAGTGTCGCCTCACACACTGTCTACCAACTGCATTTATTGTTATTGATTCGATGAATCATCAGACTCTGACTGCGTACTACTTAATATAAAAGAACACAAATATTTGCTGTCGTCAAGTCATGTGCATTCGTCATACACAGAGAAATAAATGCAATTACAGCAATATGTTATCCTCCTTCTTGATGCAAATGACATAGAATTCTTACACCACATCATCTGATGAAAAATCAAAGAATAATAAAAGATGAATTTTGAATTCTTGGCTAACGAATTATTACTTGAAGTATTTGAATATTTTCATGCTGTGGAACTTATCCGAACTTTTCATCATCTCAATCAACATTTTGACAATTTGATCTTTACTCATTTTCGAACACATCGTTTCGATTTTCGAACAGCATCAAAACAAGATTCTGATATTGTCTGTCAAGTAAATCTTCCATTAATTGTCGATCAAATTACTTCACTTGGTCTCTCCGACGACGATGAAATTCCTCAACAAATTAATTTATTTCGTTCCTATGGTTGGACACTGAATAAATTCCAAAATCTTTCTTCACTTTCATTAGATCATATTCGTTCGGGTGAGATAATTTTTGAACTTTTATCCGAATGTTCTCAACTTGTTCGTTTAAATCTGACTTCATGCCATTTTGAATGTAAGCAAGATGATATTCTTCGTTTTGTGAACTGTATATGGAGTTTACCTAAATTGATTTTTTGTTATTTGAATATGAATTTTAAACATGGGTTTCATATGCCAATATCGACAAATGTTTCATTGTCATTGGAACATTTATCAGTTTTGGGTGTTTCTTACCGTGCTGACCAATTAACTCATCTTTATGCGCATACACCGAGTCTTCGATATTTTGCATTAGATTTATCTAGTACCCATTCTGCTGAACAATTGCAAACATCATATTCATCGTTAACTGAATTAAATCTTGTTTTTGTTGGTTCACAACATGGTATCATAGATAGGGTGTTACAAAAAGCACCGAATCTATATCGATTGAAGATCGAAACAATGTATTTGGAAATGAATGGCCATGAATGGGCACATATTATTCGTAATTATTTACCAAAATTAAAAGTATTTCAATTGAAAATGAGATTCGAAAATCGTAGTGAAAAATATAAAAACGAATATTTCAACTCATTTCGAACTCGCTTTTGGCTTGAAGAACAGCAATGGTTTGTTAGATATCATTATAATCCAGATGATAGTTCCAATATGATTTGTCTCTATACTTTACCGTATAGTTTTTCTTATCTTGACATTTACTTTCCTGTTCATTTTCAATCGACTTGTCCCAGTGATATTGATGATGATTATTATTCATCATATAACCATGTTCAACACTTAGTTTATCGTTCTTCTTTAACCAGCAACATGATTGTATCTGATCTTAATTTTCCAAATACAACTTACCTTTCAGTAACACTTCCTGTTAACAATCATTTACTATCAATCATTCAAAAACTGCATCGATTAACTGCATTAGAAGTATCAAGATCGAAAACCATGTCGGATGTTGATGCTCAGTTACAGTTACAAAATATCCTTGACCATGCATCTCATCTTTCTTCGTTAAGATTTAACTCATGGCGAGAAGGACAGTTTCTCAATCGAAATTCTTCAATAGCTGAAAAATTGACACCAATCATCTTGAAAACCCGATTAATTCGACAAGTTAATCTGCGAGGTTATGATTGGTGGTTCAACGATGAAGAATGTGTTCAGATACGTGGTTCGTCATTGATAAAACATTGTGAAGTACTTTCAATCAAAGTTCAAAATCGATTGAATATACTTTATCTTATCAATTCATTGCCTAACCTTCGAGCGTTGATTGTTCAAGCTCGAGATGATAATTGGAGTTGGAGCTGCTATTCTCCATCAACTGATGATCAGTATGTTCAATGGCTACAACAGAATTTGCCATCAACGTGTTCAATTAAACGAGATTTTCGTTTTGTTCATTATATTCGAATATGGATTCATTTATAAACATAAGATCTCAAAAGAAGGCAGCTAAAGATTTTTTGAAATAAAAGAATAAAATTTTCATTATCAATCATTAAAGTGGAATAGTCTATCCAACATCGATCAAGGGTTACAATAATGTAGAAGATTTCATTCCTCCCACAAAGGCTTCTGTATAGTGTAGTATATGATTAAGAAGTGTATTTAAAACGACAAATTAACATTTCCCTTTGGTAACTTCATTTCATTTAGTCATAATATATTGTTACCTAATATCGATACTCTGTTCTAATTTCTCAAGAAAAAAATCTATTCGAACCCTCTGAATCTATATCAACATTGGAAAGAACAAGATTCTCATGATCAATAATCTCTGTGCAGATGCTAAAACTTTGCCAAAATTTCTCTTTCCATGATTCTCATAAAGCTTGGTCGGATGCCGATATTTGACAAAAATGAAAAGAATGAATCTATGACATCTCCAAGCATTAGTCAAGTTGATCAGTAGAATATCTTGAAGTTTTTGAGTTCGAAACAATAGATTAAACTAACTGTCATAGCTTAAAATGTTTGTTTTTTGGATCGCAACGCCAGCTGAAGACTACTTGAGATAGATCGAGAACAACACTGACTTAAGCTAGCCACTTATACCTTTGAGCCAAGATTATTCGAAATGTAAAGGAAAGTGCAAAGTCAACGAAAAAGTGTGAGTGTTTCGTGCACAACATTGATCAGCGCGTTGGCCGAAGTAGATCAATTTTGGTATTTGAAAGTTTTCCAAGTACGTTCTATGGAAAAATGTCGATAGAGTTATTGTTGTTCGACGTTGAGAATGGTTTTGTTAAGTTCTTCAAATTCTTGTGGTTCATATTTAGTTCATAATTCATGAGTCGACACGAAGATAGCCCATGGTAAACGACTACAGACGAGATTTTTGAAGATGGAAAACTGAATCAATCAGACTGAAACATTCGAATCAGAAGAAAACTTTCACTATTCTACTGAATATTTGATGTCTATGTGCACAAGAGGTTTTTTCGTATATACCAAAGATATCTGTTTGAATTTGTTTCTTTTATAGTTCACTCATCAAGATTTGTGGAAGACGATGATCTTTCCGATTTGAAATGATGAACCAGAACAGCATCTTGCAACCGTCAAGCTAAATTCATTCGAGTGGCATAAAATAAAAGAAGAACTTGCGTTTCATGAATATCTTGCTGGGGAACCAGATGCTTTTTCTCAGTCATCTATTCCGTCAAAAAAGACCGATACAATAGGGTGAGGTGTGGGTGTGAATCTTCTATTTTCCACCTCCACCTCCACCCACACATCACCCTCAAATAGCTTAGAGATTGCATGTTATCCTTCAATACTGTCTAATATACTACCAATTCAATGATTTAGATAATACACGTTTGTTAAAACTCATGACAATCAAATATATTACATTGTGTAACTTTTTCCAGAACAATTAAAAAGCGAAATGAAAATATAAAATTCAATAGAATTGACACTAAAATGTGAGACAACTGTTTGTATTGTTATCGGATCAGTGGGAAATGTCGAACAATGATTTCTTCATGTGTTATTAAAGTTAAAACAATTCGCAGATTCGCCACTGGAGCGATTTCACTTTAATATCAAACAAAAGAATCGAAAGCTTTAAGAGGATTCTCATTTAATATTGATGTTCTGAGTAAATGTTCGACCATTGTAAACTGATGAAATCTTGTTTCTTTATTTTGTCTTTTGAATATGTTGTACTTAACACAAGTACATAATTGCAAAATTTCGAACAACACAACTCATCTAAATTACTCCAAGATGATAAAGGTTTCATTTAATCCCAGGCCATATTATTAAACAATAAACTTCCAATGACGACGCAAAAAAAGACAAAGACTTTGAGTATTTTAAAAAGTTTTGGAAAAATTAGCTCACGAGAGAATCTTCCTAGATATCTTCCTTGAATTTCAATGAATCATTGTCTATAGATCCTACATAGTGCACTAGTAAAACTCTTAAAAAGATTTAGGTACATATTGAGATTTGACTAAGCCATCGAATTCATAATATGTGTGTTTTACAGAGCTTCTCTCTAGGACCTCCAGTTTTTGGAAAAATTGAATCTTCGAATTTTGACCTACGGAATTGTGCGCTCTCATAGACCTTAGCTATACTAGTTTCAATAACGAAAAATAGAAGTTTTCACTAATGCTTCAGTAAGATATATAGACTTCAAGAAACTCATGCTCTATTCACTATCTATGGAAGAGAATCTAAATCTTGAAAGTCTCATGGCTTGAAGAGACATTGTTTCTATAGTTCACGCAAAGTTTTACGTCAAAATTCGAAGACTCAATTTCCTGAAAACTAGAGATCCTACAAAAGCCTTTGGGAAATAGGCATATTAATAATTCGATAGCTTAACCAAATCTCAATATGTACCGAAATTCTTTCAAGATCATTACAGTTCTTGAAATTCTCAAAACAATGCAACCCATTCTTTTTTAAATGATAGATGTGTTCATTCTGTATCTAAGGCTGTAGGTATGGAAGTGAATGTAGATGAAAAGGAGACTCACAATCATACCATCAACACCTACACCCTCACTTGCAATCGCACACAATACTAGACATACCTTCATCCAGGCAAATATAAATGCCAAAGACAGTTAATCATTTCAGTGTGGGTATTAGGTGTGTGGTCAGTAAAACGTTAATAGGCATCAATAGCTAAACTGAAGACTCGATTATAACATTCAGTTTGTACAAAAATAACTAATAGAAAGTATTAAATAAAAACCATGAAAGTCATTTAATGATCGATAATATATTAATTGATTAATATGGAACTATGATTTCCCTAGAGTTCATTTGAACGTATCCTGGCATATAAAAACAATAACTATAATATACATTGCCTTTAAATGGTAGAGTATCAACAAATTTTTAATAGGATGTTGGTGTGCGTGTGTGGAATACTGAAGACGCTTGTCCACACCTTTTTTTTCGAAAATAACGTTTTTTGTATTACTTCCTTTTTGTTAATGGTCCTCCTCTTATCAATAATAAAAATTTTAAACATAAAAAATATTCATGTTCTATTATATAAAGAATTCATTACTATTTGTATTATTTACAAACAAAATTGCTGACTCGTAAAATATAGATACAGATTCATTTTTCTTCTTCTCATTATGTAGTAAATTGTTCTGTCTATTTGTTTGTCTAATAAAAAATTTGATAAATGTGTCACATCTTCGAAAAAATCTTTGAAAATAGAAAGATCATAATCATATTGCTAAATATTATCTTTTATACCAACCTAGGAACAGTTTTTTACTTGTTCATTATAATGCAAGTTTTATTACTTAAAGAATGAATTACACTAAAAAGCACTTTTCAAAATAGTCGTGCTTTGATAACCATGAATAATCGAATTTTACAATAGATAGTCAATCAAATTTATCTTTGCTGATCGTTGTGTATTTCTGCAGGTTACCAACTATATCGAGTCATGTAGCAATGAATATTGCTTTGTGTAATTCGTTTGACATAAAATTTCTTGTACAAGAAGGAGTCATTCTTTACTGACAATCGTTCGTCACGTACTTCTCACCTTGCGTTTACTTTCTTATTATAGGTGGGACTGTTCTCAACAAAGTCCTTTGTCGATAGATAATCCAGTAAAACCAAGAAAAGAGAAAGATAAGAAAGAGAAAGTGTTGCCATCTTCCAAAAGTAATAAACGAATCATTAGACAGAACAAACCAACGATATCACATACACAATTAAAAATAAAAGAACCAATAGTAAGACATTGAAGTATTCAAAACTACTTCATTTGGAAGCATTTCAGAATGGTGAGTAACTTGTTAGAATCATTGGAAGAGCAAAAATAGAAGTATCTTATAAGTCATATAGATAGCACAGCTATGCTCGAATCATTAGAAAGTATCACAACAGATATGGAATAATAATAGATGAACAAGTTCTCTTATGTTTGTCCCTGAGCTCCATGATTGATTTATTTTTCTGCATCAATCTCATACTTGTACTCTATATTTTTCTACGTTTCAATTCTATGATGTTGTCTGTATTTCATATCATTAATTAGCTTCTTTTTTATTCAATTCTATTGATCGTCAAGACTTATTCACGAGACTACAATCGAAAAAATGAGTATTTCTTAAGGGAATGTATAAAACGGTACATATATGTAAAACTGAAAGAATTGTTACGACTTTTAAACTTCTTCGAATTTTAAAAGTTTATTATTCGAGTTAGGGGTATCGTATTGGATTTAGCATTATCATTAACAATTGAAACTAATGTTTCAGTATCATTGACAATAGAGTTATATAATGCCAAGATGCCAGTTTTGGCTTACTACTATTTTTGATTCTAATAATTATATGTACTCAAATGTAAGTTTTGAAGGGCTGCTTGGATATTCTACTTGTAGCATCTCAGTACATTCACCTATATCTCCACCGCCAAAATGCATCGCACCAGGTTTACATGCCATAGAAAAGGAACATCCGCCGAAACAGGCAACATGCCTCAATATTTCGATATTTTAAATTTGAATACTCGATTTATATATTTCAGTTTAAAACTCGAACAGAAGTCGAAAATTCGTAACGAATTAAACATTTCTACACTACTGTTAGGTTAGTGGCTTCTTCAAGACCAGGCATTCTTCAAAAAAAATTCATCTAGATGCATTCAAATTATGTTAAGATCATATTTTAATGATGACCATTTATACCAGATTTACCGCTTTCATAGTGCCACATATATTCAAATGGAAGAATTTCGATTGAAACGACGAATTTGTTTTTCTAGAAATTGGAGATGAAAAACG